GTTTGATGCAAAAACGCATGATCGCACCGGCTCGCCTGGTGCGTTCCAGCCTGGGTTTTTTTTTTTTTAAATCAGAAGTGATTTTTGAAAAAAAGTGAATCGTATTAGTAGTTCAATCAGTTACTTTAATGGATTTCAAATCGTATTATTTAGAGAACAAAAATCTGCGCAGGGCTGACTTGTATCCAAGCGAAACCAGAGTGAATCCTGCACAATCATATTTCGATCACCGTGGCAATGAACAGGAAAGGAGCTTTAGGCGAAGCGAAAAACGAAGCACTGGTCTGCGCTGGCTTTGCAGACGAATTTGTTGTCGGACAGAACAGGGTTGCTCAACGAGCTTCAGTCGAAATAGAAGGCGGTGTACTGATGTACACTGGCTCTGCATCTTCGTTTTCTATTTGGCTGGCATGGTAAGTCAAAACTAAAATCAAAACCTTTTTCATTACTCCTTCTGTGCGGAAGGCAGAGTCATTTGGGGAGTAGCCAAAATGGTACCGAACGCCAATAGCAACCATCCCCTGGATGCCTCCATTTTTCAAAAGTTGGTTATAAGCTAACTTGACTCCCTAGCGTTTGCGAGTACTAAATTACCAACAAAAGGAAAAAACGAACCACACAGTGATCGGTTGCTTCATCCGCAGAGACCTACTGTGTGACAGTGCTGCTACTTCCCATTTCACTAAGCGAATTACATCAGTATTTCCCTTCCACTCTTTTCTTGAAGGTCACAAGTTCTATCATCTAGGAAGGTTCATGCAGGTAGAGTGCTGTTTTTGCAGAGCAAATAGGAAGGCGGAAAAAATTGTTTTCTTCATTTTCATAAACTTGTATTTGAAATATTCTATACCAACAGCGAAATCAGTTGCTTTTTCCTAACTTATGATTTCATGTTCAAATGCTTTTGAGACTGTAGCTGCAAACGTTTTTCGTTGTCGTAACCAAAGCTCAAAATCCAGTAAAGCACTTCTTTGCAGGTCGTAATTGCAGTGCATGCATTGCAAAATGGCAATATTTATCGTCTATTCTATCCAACAGATAGTTTTGGTAACGTATGTGGCCGTAAAAATGAGCACATCAGGATTCCTCAGAAACACCGAGGAAACATATGGCTACGGCACTATGTTGGCCAAGACATGTCACGCAAAAAGTTAGATTTTTATGCGTTTTTGCTGTGCAATGCTATAGAGCTGGCATAGCCAGCAAAAACTCATATTGTCGAGAGGTTGGATGTGTGTGTGTTCGGAAGCGAGTGCATTTTGCTACCCACTTTCATCTCAATAACCAAGAAAGCTGGGAGGCTGAAATTTTGGGTACATGTTCCTGTCCCGTGTGACATCCTTCTGTTTTAAGATCTCCCGCACGCACTAATACCTGCGTACGGATTCTCGAAAAATATGCAAGTTTCTTTAGCGGGAAACGATTTTGCA